CACACACACACACACACACACATATGGGCACACATCAGAGAGATGTACTATGCACAAATTCAATACACATGGACCTCTCCTAAGCATCAAATATCTACACAATTGACCAGCTCACTTCAAATTGCAAATATCTCCAAATACACAATCTCCTGCTACCTGCATATCCAAGACCATATATTCCAAAATAAAAATATTCCTCCATCTTGTAAAATGCAGAATCATACTAAATTTACAACACAATTGCACACATTTGTTTTACTAGTCCAAAAAATAATCATAGACCTGTCATCACACACTGAAGGACATACACACAGATCTTGGAGGTCAGAAAAAGAAGTATATAACCACACACCCCGTCCTGTACACAAAAATAATCGTCTTAGGTTTCCCAATAAAACAGAGGTATGCTAAACCTTCAGAAAAAAACACTTCTTTGAAAGATGCACACACAGACAAATATTACCACTTTCCCTAACACCACGCATCGGCCTATGCACATATGCACCCACAATTTTTATGACTCCCAAAACAAGAACTAAAATTCCTTCCCATCCTCAAGTACACACAAGGTCTCCCCAGCAAAACACACACACACACACACACACACACACACACACACGCACAAAGCAGCATTTAATGAAGTTTCTGGACATAACACATGCATACCGTAATTTAAAAATACAATAGATGAATCTGTTTAGTGCAAATTCTTTTGAGTCAACTGCTTCTCACACAACGCCATTGTTGACTTTTGCCAGCCTCCTGCACCCACAGGAACCTATTTTTGCAACTCAATCACCGCATGACGTCACACTGAGCAAAAAGGCATGTTATACAATTTGGGCAGTCACTACTGAGTGTAGTTGGCACATGAATGGAGGCTGACACTTTACCTGCCTTAACAAGTTTCATACGTGAAAACAAGGAAGGTGTCGCACAGCGGGCCACTGACTTTTCAGTGACAGGAGCTACTTCTCTGAGGCGCTGGACGACGCTTTTCAGACATGAGAAGTGTTCCTCGGGCTTCTGCATCACGGCACATGGAAGGGACACAGACGTGACGCGCTGTCAAGCTCCACCACATCCCTGGGTGTCCCGCTCCCGCCCAGCCTCGGACCACAGAACAGGGACTGGAGCCCGGCCTGGGGCTTCACCCACGCCCTTGGGAAAAGACGAGGGCCAGCTAGAGAGGGGCCCGGGGCACAGGAAGGAGTGTTGCCCCCCTGGACACACACATGCCAGTACCTCAAGGGCAGGCACAAGGGGAAAGGGCAGGAACATACTGCGGAAGTGGTGGGTCAGAATACCCATCATCTCTGGTTTGAGTAAGGAACTCTGCAACCGCCCTGTTGGCCCCAACCGTCAACCAGGCCTCTGCGCTTGCGCATGCGTCTTCCCTGAGTAAATCCTCAAGAGCGGTTGGAGCTGGAGACCTGGACGGAGCGCTGAGGAGCTCCATGGACTCCTGGAGCAGTTAGAGCGCCAGGCAGGGAGCCCGGGGGTGGGCGGGCAAGGCAACTTCAGCCTAGGACAAGCGCATGCGCGGGGCGCACCAGAGAAAGCCGTGCAAGAAGCAAAGAACCTTTTTTCATGTATTTATTTGCT